CCATACCTGTGTAAACCTTTTGTCAACTTCTGGACCTCTTCCAGTTTAACTCTGCCTGTATACACTGTACTGTCAAGTTCCACATCCACTCCTGGGCTAAACTGGTGAAAGAATGGATTTTTACACATTACTCAACAAATGATTGGCTAGGTCTTATCTCGGCTAAACTGGTGAAAGAATGGATTTTTACACATTGCTCAACAAATGACAGAATTGATTGAACATGTATATTAATGAAAATAATTCCCAAATTACTAAAATTGTAAAGAACTTGATTACACAACTTCCCACAATGCATTAGAAAAGTATGATTTTCTTGTGCTGCGGAGCATGTTATTAACCTCGGATGTTTGAGTGAACGTGATTGGTGTTATGGTGGTTGTATTTTATCTACATGGCTGCAATACTGTTTCTTTGTTTTTTAATCTGTTTCTTCATTCATTTAGTTTTGTTGCCTTTATAACCCATGCATTGGATAAGTTTAATGTTTGATAATAAAGTGAAATAGTGCTTGTTTACTGTTGCATGTTTTTATGTATTTATTTGCTTCCTCAGGTGTCATAGCAATGTAATGATATAATGCTAGCAATCAACAGTTTTAGTGTTTTGTTCTTCTTTTTTTTTCTTCTAGATGCATATGAAAATATAAGACCTTGCAAATAAGAGTGTGTTAAAAATATTATTTATATAACACAACAATATTTTAATGAACGCTTTGTGTAACTGCCAGTATTAATGTACTTTTGCCTTACAGGGTTATTATGATATGCCTTTCCAGCCTACAACTAGCTTAACGGGAAGGGACCCAGGACTTGGCAGTGTAGTATACACAGGTAAGTTTAACATGAAAAGGCCCATTACTTGGCATTGTTTTGTACGCAGATAAGTTTATCATTATTGGTCCAAAAGTTGATAAAGAGTTTACACAGGGATGTCAGGATTGGTTGTGGAATTTGACAGTACAGTGTATACAGGCAGAGTTAAACTGGAAGAGGTCCAGAAGTTGACAAAAGGTTTACACAGGTATGTTTGGCTAGGTCTTATCTCGGCTAAACTGGTGAAAGAATGGATTTTTACACATTACTCAACAAATGATTGGCTAGGTCTTATCTCGGCTAAACTGGTGAAAGAATGGATTTTTACACATTACTCAACAAATGATTGGCTAGGTCTTATCTCAACACAATGAAAGTGTTAAGTTACATCGTGTAGTAGCAGCACAAAGAATTGAAATATATATATTATGTTTCTAATTGTAAGGGAAGCAAATACAAATGAGAAATCGCAATGCCAAGTCATGTGGCAGAAAAGTGAAGATTTATTGAAATATTGACATACATTGATATTGAAGTAGTTTAACTAAATTTTGAATGTAACTATAAAAAGGTTGTTACATGTGCACTTTGACCTACCCATATCCAGAGGGTTAATCAAAAATGATAACAATTGGAAAAACTAATTTTTTATTAGTTGATTATTTTAGCTACACTTTATTTAATCTGTTAGTTTGTATGACATTAGTTGATTAAGCCATCCAGTTTTACTTATGATAAACTTAAAGAGCTATTCTACGACCTAAATCATTATTAACAAGTTTCAAAACAAGATATAGGCTCTGATATGAAACTGATAAAGGTACTTTTTTGCCCATTTCAGTTTTCAGCAATATGTTATTGTATTCTTCTTCCCTTGATAAGAAAGTTTTAAAACTGGAGGTTATAGCTCTGATGTCTTCCCAGAAAACTATATTTTTGTGTATTTACTTAACAAACTTTCCATCCAATGATGGGGGTTAATTTAAAACAGGTTCACATATTCTGTTGTGAACAAGCAAGTAATAACAATTCAGCTGATATTAACAATAAAAAAAAGCTATTATTTGTACATAGCATTCAGATGATTTTTAGTAATTCTCTATGACGACCATGTGCTGATAGTCAGTTTAGTGTCTCAGACTCTAGAATTTCATTTTTGTGTTTTCTGATTGTTTTAAGGCTTGTAAGCTTTTCCTTTTTTTTTTCATTCTAAGCCTAATTTATTATTTGTTGGCTCGTGACTAGCTTATAAAAACTAACCTGTAGAGCTATAAGTTTGTTTTTTTTTTTTATTATATATATATATGTATACACTTTTGTTGAGTTTTTGGATAATTATGTTTAGTGTATGTGTGTGTGCATGTATGTTGTACTATGTACCGGACTTTGTTGTGAGGAAAAATGTTACTGGTTTTCTTGCTGATCTGAAATTTTTATGCAGTTTTTTTTCTCTTGTTTGCATGTATTTGTAAAGTAAATAATTTTGTGTTAAGGTAACGTTAGAAAACACATTTCTAGCTGTATCTGATGATAAAAGATGCCATAGTTTTCATATCTCCAACCAAACAGAATGGCTATAAGAACTCGTGTTTCTTATTAAAACTACCAATTGTGCATCATTATTTGTTTGTTTTATTTTAAAGTTTTGCGTAAAGCCTTTATTTAATCAAGGGATTAATGTAATTTTTGATTCAGTATCTCTTCTGCCTTAAGAACGTACGTGTAGCACTGATGTTATTTAACATAAGAGCTGGTGTTACCAAAACTTTGGAAAATATATGATTCATGTTATGCCTGTATCCACTTTTCTGAAGCTATTTTCAATGAAATAAAATGGTGAGCTAAAAACATTTGATGAAATTTAGTATCTACCTAGAAAATAAGTGACTTCATAAACTACTTGTCTCATTTTGATGTTACTGAGATCACAAACCTGACTAAAAAATGTGAGGAAAATTATGCCTCTCAGATTTTTCTGGAAGCCGACTTCTTGTATTACTCTACACGTAAGTAAACTTTATTCTCTTAGCGCTACTACATGATGTAACTTAATACTTTCATTGTGTTGCTACTGCATGACGTAACTTAATACTTTTATTGTGTTGCTACTACATGATGTAACTTAATACTTTTATTGTGGTGCTACTGCATGATGTAACTTAATACTTTTATTGTGTTGCTACTGCATGATGTAACTTAATACTTTTATTGTGTTGCTAC